GTTATGTTTAGGCTGGCCTGGTTGGGGGATTCCAGCGGCGAGCCGATTGCTCCGCTGGGCTCAGGACCTTGGGCTGTAACCTCCGACGGAACGATGCCTGTTTGGAACACGATGGGGCCCTTATTGGTGGTCTCTTGGCGCCCTCTTACGATCTCTTAGGTCCGTGTTGGGGAACATATATCAGAAAGAGCGTGTTCTACCGCTGCTGGCGGACACCCGGGGCGGGTCACTACCGGTTCGAACCCCTCCCCCCCCCTCCTCCGCAAAACAGGGGGGGGTCACTACCGGTTCGAACCCCTCCCCCCCCCACCCCCAGTTCATCATGAAAAGGGGGGGGTCACTACCGGTTCGAACCCCCCCCCCTCGAAAACTGGGGGGGGGGTCACTACCGGTTCGAACCCCTCCCCTCCCCCCCTCGAAAACCGAGTGGGGGTGCGGACAGTGGTGGGGACGGTGTTGGTGGGGACAGTGGTGAGGGGACAGTGGGACAGTGGTGGGGACAGTGGGACAGTGGGACAGTGGTGGGGACGGTAGTGGTGGGGACAGTGGTGGGGACAATGGTGGGAACAGGGGGGACAGTGGACAGTGGTGGGGACGGTGGTGGTGGGGACAGTGGTGTGGGGACAGTGGGAATGAGGTGGAAACAGTGGGACAGTGGAGGGTACAATGGTGGTGGGGACAGTGGTGAAGGCGGTGGCGAGGACGGCGGTGGGACAATGGGACAGAGGTACAGTGGGGACAGTGGTGGGGACAGTGGGGACAGTGGTGGGAACAGTGGGACAGCTCAGTGGGACAGCGGAGGAGTCAGTGGGACAGTGGGGACAGTGGGGATAGTCGGGCAGTGGTTGGGGCCGTGGAGACAGTGGGGAGAGTGGAACCGTGGTGGGAACAGTGGTGGGGACAGTGGGGACAGTGCGACAGTGGTGGGGGCACTGGTGGGGACAGTAGGGACGGTGGTGGAACCAGTGGGGACAGTGGTGGTGAGGACAGTGGTGCTGGGAACAACAGTGGGGGATGTGATGCGGACGGTGGTAGGGACCGGGAGTCGTTTGCTGGCGGTGCGTGGGGGGGGGGGGTCGAACCGGTAGTGACCCCCCTCCGGTTTTCGAGGGGGGGGGGGGTCGAACCGGTTGCCCCCGGATCGGAGGGGGGGGGGGGGGGGAGGAGGGGTTTCGAACCGGTAGTGACCCCCCCGGTTTTTTGGGGAGGGGGGGGGGGAGGGGGGGGGGAGGGGGGGGGGGGGAGGGGGGGGGGAGGGGGGGGGGAGGGGGGGGGGGTTTTGCCGGGGAGGGGGGGAGGGGGGGGGGGGTCCAGCAGGGGGGGGGGGAGATTTTCGGAGGGGGGGGGGGGGCGACCCCCGGGCTCCAGAGGAAAAGGTTGGCAATTTTCCACAGTAAAGCAGCGGTGGATCACGCTCTCTCATATATCAAGAGAGAGGGGTACGCACTCTGTCCGCCCCCCCTTCGGAGGCTCAAGCATTACCTATCCAGGGCCTCCGTGGGGGATCTTGGGGAGCTCTTAGGGGACGTGGTGGGGACCTGTTCAAGCCACCTGCGTACTCTCGTGGGCCATACTGAAGCCATACTACGACCTCAGAAGCCCGTAGGAGGCGACAGCGCAATGATGCCCAAACAGTTAAGACATCTTGCTTATGAGCGTTTGTGGCCTCTTGGCGAGTCCCCTCAGAACATTCGAAACCCGCTTGGAAACATCGTCGAGCTTATTGGAGCGATCTTGACCCCTCTTGGAGCTATCTGGAACCACACTGAGCCCTCGGACCGCTCGCGAAGCACCTCTCCAGGCTCAGGGGAGACCTTCCCCTAATTCAACGCGTCGGAGACGGAGCAAGCCCTCCCCACCTTAACCACTGAAACCGAATGATTGGAGTCGAAAATAGGGGGGCATCCTCAACAGCCGCCCTCTTCATCCCTGCCGTTTCGCCTCCCCGCCTTCCTCTGCCCTTCCATGAGCAAACCTAAATGCCATGCCTGTCTTGTTCGCTGGTAGTGTCTTCTTTCGTTGATCCCGGCAAGCCCTTACTATGGTTATGTGGGGAATTCCGATCGCGTATGTTTGACAGAGATGTTTGGCTTGCGCGCAGCAAGCAGTATGAGGGCACCCCCGCCGTCCTTGATAAAAAAGTGTTCGCGTACCCCCCGAACATGATCCATGTTTTGCCGCAAAGTGTACTTTACAATGTTTGTTGACAGGGATGGTGAGGGGGTGCATTGCATGCGGACGGATTGGCTGCCGGTCGCTTGTGGGAGGGGGTGCTTATTCATATTGAACAGCGATATGGGGCAATGGATATAGGCATAGAGGGACCGGAATGGGGATGGGGAGAAGGATAGGGATAAAGCGGACAAGGATAAGGATATGAATAAGGGTAGGGATACAGATAGGGATATGGATAGGGATGTGCAGATGATAGGGATAGGGATAGGGATAGGGATAGGGACAGACAACGGGAGACAGCGGGAGACAATCGAAGACAACTAGAGAGAACGAGAGACAATGGGAGACAATGGGAGACAACGTCGCCCGACCGACTCCAGATCTGGCACTCCACCTCTTAGCAGAAATGGAGTTCTATGTTACAGGCAGGCTGGTCGGGGGAAAAAAGATACTGACGTCGTGTCTGTCATTCCCATCCAGCCCAGGCGAATTGCCCTGATCAGGGCAGTTTCCCAGCAAGCAGTGGAACAAAGAAGGGCGGGGCAGCCGTCAAGCCAAAGATCGGGATTGGCCTGAGCAGACCCGAGAGTCAACCACACAGGCGGCCCGGATTATTAGGTCGACCCTGCCAGATCAAGGGTACCTTCGTGTCCCGTGCCTTGCGACCCCGGCCTCCGGCATTTCGGTGGCAACGTGGCCCCCCGAAGGGTCTTGCGTCCTCTCGCGTGTCTTCTCCAATCAAGTCCGATTGTAGATGCTGTCGAGGATCTTTCGGTATTGGAGCCTCTTGGAAGCTCGCTTGGACCATACTGGGGCCCTCTCGGGGCCACTTGGGAGGCCTCTGGAGCTCTCCTGGGGCCTCCTGGGGCACGCTTGAGGGTCTGCAGGGCCCTCCTGGGCCGCTCCAGGACGTCATCGATCAAAATAGAGGGCTTACTCCTCCTCCTCCTCCTTCTCCTCCTCCTCCTCCTCCTCCTCCTCCTCCTCCTCCCCCTCCTCCTCCTCCTCCTCCCCCTCCTCCTCCTCCTCCTCCTCCCCCGAAACGGTAACCTCTTGAGGGCCCTCTTGGGGCGCTCTTCGGCGCTCAGGAGGCTGCATGGCCGCTCTTCTGGGACCTCGTTGGGGCCGTCGTGTACGACATTGGAGCCATCGTGCAGCCTCGGACGCCCGTCGGAAGCGAAGGGCGAGATGGCGAAAATACAGTCGTGGCGCTGAAGAAGGAACCCTTTTCGTTGGGGAGGGGCTCGGTGTTCCTTGATTGTTTCACAGTTTGCCTTAGGTTTTCCTTAGGTTTTCGACGGGAAATCGAACCTTAACTGATGGGGAAAAGGGGCCTCGTTCCTTATTCAGGGTTCCTTAGGTCAACGACCCGACTGTAATGCAGCTATAAACTGAGGTTGGGTGAGTTGGGCCTCCAAGACGGCCCAAGAGGCCATCCAAAGAGTCCCCAGAGTCTGCGGGGTCTCCAGGGGAAAGTGGGAAATCAGTATTCCCGACCACACGCGCCCAGTGCATCGGGAAAAGTCTTGCGACGAGCCTTAGAAACGCCCCGCAGAGATGTGGAAGTTCCCAGAGAAAAGGGGGGCAAGGCGTTCAAAACATGATTTGCAATACTCGGGGTTTAGATTTAAAGGGAGCTGGAAAACAACTCCACCCAGTGCTTACAGAACTATGGCGGATAACTACAACGAAAGAGCCTGCATGTCGCATGTGGAACATTGGAGTAGCATGGCGAACATGAGGTCACGCGCATCTCATGACAATACACACGCACTCTTACACGCACTGCGTGGTTCACGTCAGACTTGGGTTTACTCCCTACCTAGGCTCTGCCTAGAGGGTTCTTACTCTCTTTCTTAAAGGGGCCGGGCAGTGCACACCGCCCCGGGCGGTTTCCCCAGTATCCGCCCCGCGGTTCCCCCAGTTACGTCCCCTTAGCTTAGCGTTGCTTATCTCATCTTAGTTTAGCCTAGCTTAACTTAGCTTGGTTTAGCTTAGCTGTGCCTAGCCTAGTTTAGCTTAGCTTAGGCTTAGCTTAGCTTAGCCTAGCCTAACACAGCTTTAGCTTAGTTTAGCTTAGCATATCTTAGCTCACCTTAGCGCAGCATAGCGCAGCGCAGCATTAGCACAGCATAGCATAGCCAAGCATAGCATACCATAGCATAGCTCAGCATAGCATAGCATGGCATAGCATTGCGTAGCATAGCGCAGCACATCATAGCATATCATAGCATAGCATTGCTTAGCATAGCACAGCGCAGCATAGCCTAGCATAGCACAGCATAGCATAGTATAGCATAGCGCAGCATAGCATAGCATAACATAGCATAACATAACGCAGCATATCATATCATAGCATAGTCTAGTATATCATAACATCGCGCAGTATAGCATACCATAGCATAGCATAGCGCAGCATATCATATTATAGCATATCATAGCATAGCATAGCATAGCATAGCATAGCATAACACAGCGCAGCCGAGCGTACCCTAGATGTGAGTCTCGCTGTTGGTGTTGGTGTAGATGTAGATGCAGGTGTAGGTGTTGATGTAGCTGTCGGTGTAGATGTAGATGTTGCTTTCCTAGATGCTCCAACTCCTAGGTAGGGTCGCACTGGGATAATGACTGGGAATCGGCCCGTGCTCGACTGCCTCAATGACAAGCTTGGGGCGCGTCAATTGTTGTATTCGGCACGTGTCTGGCATGTGGAGAGCAGTCCGAGCTGCCTGAGAGCATCGTCAATATTTTCGTCGTCACCATCACTGTCGTCGCTATCACCAACAGCACCATCATGTGTGGTCTGTTGGCTCAGACCGATGCGGATCGCGGTCCTGCCGCGATCCTCGCGCCCGCCGCCGCAGGGGGGACCCGGGCGCGCCGAGCGGCCACCATGGCCCAGCTCGGCACCGTTCCTGGACTGCACGGCGGGGAGGTGGGCACGGCAGCCGGTCTTCACGGAGCGGTCGGCACGGTGACAGGCTTGCACGGGGGAGACGGGTTGGGCACTGCGACGGGCCTCCACGATGCAGGCGCTGTCGGCACTGCGACGGGCCTTCACGACGCGGGCGGGGGCGCCACGGTGACAGACTTGCATGGAGGAGGGGCTGTTGGGACTGCGATTGGCTTACATGAGGGGGGAGCTGTTGGCACAGTGACGGGACTCCATGCCGCAGGAGCGGTCGGCACAGCAGTTGGCTTGCACGACGGAGGAGCTGTCGGTACAGTGACGGGCCTCCATGCAGCAGGAGCAGTCGGCACAGCAGTTGGCTTGCACGACGGAGGAGCTGCTGGCACTGTGACGGGCCTTGATGCCGCAGGAGCGGTCGGCACAGCAGTTGGCTTGCACGACGGAGGAGCTGTCGGCACAGTGACGGGGCTCCATGCCGCAGGAGCGGTCGGCACAGCAGTTGGCTTGCACGACGGAGGAGCTGTCGGCACAGCTACGGGACTACATGCATCAGGTGCGGTCGGCACCGCAGTTGGCTTGCACGACGGAGGAGCTGTCGGCACAGTGACGGGACTCCATGCAGCAGGAGCGGTCGGCACAGCAGTTGGCTTGCACGACGGAGGAGCTGTCGGTACAGTGACGGGCCTCCATGCAGCAGGAGCAGTCGGCACAGCAGTTGGCTTGCACGACGGAGGAGCTGCTGGCACTGTGACGGGCCTTGATGCCGCAGGAGCGGTCGGCACAGCAGTTGGCTTGCACGACGGAGGAGCTGTCGGCACAGTGACGGGGCTCCATGCCGCAGGAGCGGTCGGCACAGCAGTTGGCTTGCACGACGGAGGAGCTGTCGGCACAGCTACGGGACTACATGCATCAGGTGCGGTCGGCACCGCAGTTGGCTTGCACGACGGAGGAGCTGTCGGCACAGTGACGGGACTCCATGCAGCAGGAGCGGTCGGCACAGCAGTTGGCTTGCACGACGGAGGAGCTGTCGGCACAGTGACGGGCCTCCATGCAGCAGGAGCGGTCGGCACCGCCGTTGGCTTGCACGACGGAGTTGTCCAGCAGTCGCTCGCTGGGGAGGTTGGAACTGTGCCCGGCCTACACAACGTCGGCACCGCCCCGAAGCTGCACGGCGGGGAGGTTGGCACTGTGCCGAAGCTGCACGGCACGGCGCAGGGGCAGGAGGTCGGCACGGTTCCTGGGCTCCACGGAGTGGGCACCGTGCCAGGGATCCACGCCGATGTGGGCACGACGCCGAAATTGCACCAGGAGCCAGGCACGGTCCCCGGGCTGCACAACCCCGCGGCGCCCAGCGATGGCCGGGAGACCGCTGCCGAGCTGCGGGACTTGATCCGCAAAGAGACGCAGAAGATCAAGGAGTTCGAGGCGCGGGCTCTGGATGCGGAACACATTTCGCTGTGGCTGAAGGGTCAGATCGATGCGCTCAGCGAGCAATGTGACGAGGGCGACGAACTCATGGCGACCCGGGCGACCCAGCGGCCGCCGAAGAAGCAAGAGTCCGAGCTGGACGGCACACGGCAGGTGATGCGGCATGGATTGGAAGGCACACGCCCAGTCGATCATCGCATGGCGTTGAACGGCGGCGAGCCTGGCACGCTGCCGCAACTTCACACCGGCCAGGTGGGCGGCGGCGAACCTGGCACGTTGCCGCAGCTTCACACCGGCCAGGTGGGCGGCGGCGCGCCTGGCACGAAGCCGCAGCTCCACACAGGTCAGGTGGGCGGCGGCGAGCCTGGCACGAAGCCGCAGCTCCACACCGGTCAGGTGGGCGGCGGTGAGCCTGGCACGATGCCGCAGCTCCACACGGGCCAGGTGGGGGGTGGCGAGCCTGGCACGATGCCGCAGCTTCACACCGGTCAGGTGGGCGGCGGCGAGCCTGGCACGCAGCCGCAGCTACACACAGGGCAGGTCGGCGGTTCCGCAGTGCAGGCGTCCAACGCGCAGGCCCTGCGACAGCAGATCGAGAGCGCGAAGAAGGATATCGAGAAAAGGCAGTCCGAGGTGATGAGCCTGGAGGAGCACTGCCTGGACCTGCAGGGCGAGTTGGCGGGGGAGAAGCAAAAGGCGGCTCAGCTGGCGGAGGCGATCAGCGAAACCGAGGAGGAGCTCGCCAAGCACCAGGAGATACCCGAGGAGAACCGCTTCCTCGAGGAGGAGGTCGAGGCGTACAAGAAGGAGGTCGAGAAGATGCAAGAGAAGCTCGTGGTAGCCCAGCGGCGCAAGGAGGCCCTCAGCGCTGACGCACAGGAGCTCAGAGAAACGAATGGAGGTCCTACAGATAGCACGTTCAACCACGGGGAGATGAACCGATTCTCCGTTACCGTCGTCGACCAGTTGGTCAAGGTCGAGGACGAGCTCCGCCAGCGCACCACAGAGCTGTCAGAGCTGACTGGGCCATTCCTGCGGGATGCGCACGGCCTGCTCGCGGCCTTGAGCGCGAGCTGCTCTCGCCTGGACGGGGGCGTGGGCGCGCCGCCGACGTACAAGGCGTCGCAGGGCGATGCGAAGCACGGCCTAGACGGGGCCGTCTGCATCATGCGGTATTGCGTCGAGGCCATGGAGAGGTGCAAGACCAGCGGACCAGCGTCGCTCACAAACCTTGCGAGGGAGGGCAGCATAAAGGGCAAAGGCAAAGGCAAGAGCCGCAGCAAGCACGAGATAGTCGAGAACGACGACGACGACGACGGCTGGGACCTGTTCAGCATCGGAAGAAGGTGGGGACTTGTCTGAGAACGGCGCCAGGGATCCGGTGGTCCGAGAAGTGAGTGGTGGGTCTTTGGGCAGCACGGGTTACGCACCAGTGTCGCACAGCGTCTGCACTTCAGTTGCGCCAGCTTCTCCTGGGTCCTGCTCGGGGGTAACCTCCCCCATTTTCGCTCCTTCTCAGCCTCTCCCTCTTTCACTTCCTCCTTCGCCTCCTCCTCCCCCTGATTGTCCCTCGCCTCCTGCTGCCCATACTCCTACCCCTCCTCCTTCTCCTCCGCATCCGTATCCAGTCTTTTTGCTAAACGCCGCATGCTTTTCGCGCGCCTTTTTCACGCCTCCATTTCCACCTGGGCGTTCCTGTCATTGCTTACATTTTGCTGATAATACAACTGCACGGCTTGTTCAAGTCGACTCTCTGTTGCCCGACATGCCCAGCATGCCGTAGTCTCGCCACACAGCTGTCGTGCGAAACCCCTAGTGTATTTTGCGATGACCTTGTTGCTTGGTGTTAACCGGCGGCGTGGGGAACGCGATCTTCACATAACGGCCATTGCCCCGCAGTCCAGGCATCCGCCACGAAGATTATTGGGGCGAGAGCGGGAACACATAATGTGAGAATCATCGTCACCACCACGGTTTGGGAACGTGCTTCCACATGTCGGGTCGCCACGCAGATATTGATATGTTGATGGCACGTTCCCGGTCATGTCTCATTGCCTCAGCTTCCACACACACACACACACACACCATGCGTGTGTATTTTATCTACCCTTGCCCTCCCATTGAATGTGCACCGCGACGCAGCTCATACACAGAAGCGTGTTCTCGATGCTCGATGCTCGACACGTCTGGTGGTGCCGCGCGCACCCATCTGTCACCACCAGATTCTTTCTGGCGGCCTCGCGTCTCGCCCTTTCGAGCAGTTTGGTCGTCGTACAAAGAACTTCGGAGGTTGATAGACCTCCTGCCCTGACACGTCGATTGGCGAATTGGCCGTCTTCGGTTCGCGAGAGAGCGTCGCGGCCGTCCTTGTTGCGGCTCCAGGTCTCTCGGTTTCGGTCCTAGGCCGTTTTCGCTAAAGGGTGGTTTACTAAAGGGAGGTTTGTCCATCGCCGACAGAGGACGCCCATGCGAGGAAACTCCCTGCTCGCCTCCACGGTGCCCCCTGGGTTTCTCGGGTTCCAATGGTTCCAGGGTGGAAAGCGCGTGACGTTCCCGCACCGAAGTTCAATGAACATCCTGAGGTCTCAGGGTTGGGTCTCTTGTGGACTTGTTGGGAGGTTCGTCCACTGCCGAGAAGTTCGGGCCGGACGAAAGGGGGGGGATAGGGAAAGGGGGGGGTACGACATCTGCTGCATGCAGCTGCTTTCGGCCCCGCCGTGGGGCCCACTCCTCGGTACATGGGCGCCCCCCAGCGCCGTGAGGCGCCGGGAAAATGAGCTACGTGCGCTGATTCTCAAACCCCCCCTTGACTATCCCCCCCTTTCGCCCGACCCGAGACATCTGCAAGCCGACCGTTATCGTCACCCTGTGACATGGCGTGGTAGTCGTCCTCCTCCTCCTCCTCCTCCTCCTCCTCCTCCTCCTCCTCCTCCTCCTCCTCCGCCTCCTCCTCCTCCTCCTCTTCCTCCTGACTGAGTGACTGACTCGTGGCGGACGGTAGGCTCGAACCCCCCCTTTGCGATCCCCCCCTTTCGCCCGACCCGAGAAGTGCTCACACGGCGCAGCCCGCTCCGGCTCGCTGGCTCCGAGCACCACCCACGAGGCTCTGCTGCCGCGACGGCCCGGCACGGCGGGCACGAGGGGGGCAGCGAGAAGACGAGCTTGTCGCGGCCGCGTGTGCGTCGGCCAGGGGCACCGTCGGGCCGCTGAAGGAGGAACCCCTCTTCGTTGGGGACCTTTCGCCGGAGTGACCTTTGGTGCGGGCCCAGTGGGGCCCCCCAATCGCCGAACGCGATGCGATAGTCAGCGAGCGAAGAACGGTATAAAATAAACTTTTTCGCTGTCGGGGGCGCCTGTCCCTGGGCGGCTGGAAAGTTTATACCCCTACGGTGCCACCGTAAGGGTATAAACGTTCCAGCCGCCCTGGGGCACGTGTCCCCGACGGCGGAAAAGTTTATTTTATACCGCTCTTCGCCCGTTAAGATAGTGGCGTCTTGCGCGCCTGTGTTTGGCCCCCCCGCGGCCCTCCAAGAGCCGCGCACCAGAGGTCACTCTTACCCAGGGTCACCCCTGCGTGTAGCCGAACAAGGGGCACCGAAGACAAGCCTTTCGTGGCCGTGTGCGTCGGCCCGGGGCACCATCGGGCCGCTGAAGAAGGAACCCCTTTTCGTCGGGGAGGGGCCCAGTGTTACTTCATCGTTTTGCAGTGCTCCTCGGGTGCTCCTTCGGTGTTTTCGCATGGGGAAGTCGAGGCTTTTAGCTCTGGGAAAAGGTGGGGCCTCGCTCCTGGTGCAGGGCTCCTTGTGGCAGCGCTTCGACCGTGAAGGTATGTCCCGCCGTCTCGCCGCTGCCCCGTCGGGCTCCCCTGTGCGTCCCGGCGTGCAGCCTCCCGTCTCTCCAGGGGCCCACCAACGCGGAGCCCGAAGAGCACCTCCTGCTAGGCAGTTCGCGCCGGGAGATCTGAGCATTGCACTGCGAAGGCATGACAGCCGGTGCCGCCGACCCTGAAGGGGGACGACCACGACGACGACGACGACGACGACGACGACGACGACGCTGACGTGGGTCAGGGTCCTCGGGGATTCTGTTTGGGGCCTCTTGCCCGAAGAGCGCTTCCTGCTCGGCAGTTCTCGGCGCCGGGAGGTCTGAGCATTGTCTTCGTCGTTCCTGCGCGAGGCGTTCCAAACAGGGCTTCGCCCCCGAGGGATAGCGAAGTTGCTCGCTCTTCATAGGCGGAAGGCCCGCGACGGGGGGCGGAAGTAAAACGAGGCCACCTCCGCCGGAGAAGGCTGGCGGAAGGCCGGCGGAAGTACAGAACGCGTTCCCAGGAGATGTCAACCGTCTTTATCTCTCACGTGGCTTTCACAGTCGGCCATGTGGCGCGTGGCCTTTGGAACGGACTGGTTGCACTGCCGCGCGTGTCCATCACCGCGCTCTGGGGAAGTTGCGTCGCAAGATCGCGGCACGGCCGTGGCATTCTTGCGGCAGGTTCCGCCACCGTGCCAACGCAGCACTCTGCGTGGAAAACTCTGGAGAGCCGCCAAGATGGCCGTAATATGTGACGGCTTTTCTCGGTCTCGGAGGAGGGAGGAGGGAGGAGAGAGGAGGGAGGGAGGAGGGAGGAGGGAGGAGGGAGGAGGAAGGAGGGAGGAGGAGGAGGAGGAGAAGGACGGACACGCCGCAGGATCGGAGAACACGCGTCTTGCTCAGGGCCCAGACAGCCGCAACATGCGGCATCTCTTCTTTTCCATCGCCAAGAGGGGCATCTCAAGTGACATATTGCTTCCCTTTGTGGAGAGCATGGGCGCAGGTGTAAAGGAGAGGGACGAGGAGGCGAGGAGGAGGCCCAGACATACAGTTTTGTCAATTTGCACTTGACGTGGAAACCCCTGAAGCTCTCGACCCCCTGAAACTCTCGACCCTTTCCCTGCTTGGATCACCGTGGGGGGGGGCTAAGGGGGTAGGGGGGTTGTAGGTTAATGCGAAGATGGATTATATCTGGCCCAACCTACCTGATAAGTGGGTTAGAAGTGCTCGACGTGGTTTAGGGTCGTAGAGGCCCGAGCAAAGCTATCGAATCATTTTAAGTCACCTGGGGCACTGGAAACCACCTGTTACAAGGCAGGCTACACCCTAGGCGATGCTTAAGAAAACTTAAGTTTTCGGCCAGAGTCTCGATGATTCTTAATGTTTCAGTGTAAACCTTAAGATTGTAATAGAAACGTTGGGCTTTTATTCAAGTTCTGAGACTACGAATTTCTTAACCCATGATTTCTTCAGCATTTCGCAGGGTGTAGGCCAGAAATGACCCACCTTAGCATCCACGCCTGACCCCCCTTCTCCCCTCAGCAACCCCCGCGGTGCTCCGACTCGGGGCTTCCAACGAGCGCCGGGGGATGGTTTCCCTCTCCCCTCGGAGGAGGGCCAGTCGAGTCAACGGCGGCCATCGCTGACGCTCTCCCTCCCTTCTGGGCCTCCGGCAGTCTCCTCGTCGCTGCGGCTGGATCCGCCTCGAAGACCAGGCCAGAACGGACCCCAGGAGGCGTCCGGGGACCGACTTTGAGACCGCCGTTGTCCCAGTTGGCCCCTCCGATTCTGGTTCTTCGCTTCCTCCTCTTCCTCCTCCTTTTTCTTTTCCTCCTCCTCCTCCTCCTCCTCCTCCTCCTCCTCCTCCTCCTCCTCCTCCTCCTCCTCCTCCTCCTCCTCCTCCTCTTCCTCCTCCGAGACATCCGCTTCGACCTTCCGGCCCTCTTCCCCACCCCACCCCAGCGAGAACCATCAGAAGCCTCACCCGCGAGGACCATCAGAGGCCTCACACCCCTTGCGGCTGCCATCATCGGGGCCGCTTGGGTCGCCCTCTCCCACTAATGCACCAGGACATTACGGCGTCAGTTGCAACTGGAGGGGGCCGAGGCCTTCCCTACGGCCCCTACGGCCTGTCCCGATGTTTTCTGAATAATAATAAGAAGAAGAAGAAGAAGAAGAAAAAGAAGAAGACAAAGAATTGTAAAAACAGTAGTTATTAATAATAATAATCATAAATAAATAAAAGTAACAAAAATAATAATATGGCACAATATGAACATGTTCACACTTCATGCTTAACAATTGTAGTTTAATAACATATCAAAGATGAATTACTACACATTAGCACAGTCGTTTGTTTTTAGGGGGAAAACAAACAAACAAACAAAAAAACGATGGGACAACGGCCTGGCAGTTGCGAGGTGGTTCCGCAGTTGCCCGGCCACCGTCCTTTTCAAAGAACGCAGCGCGGTGGACGCAGCGAAGAGGTGTGCCGCGGCGGCGTCGCCGACGCCGTGCCGGACGTAGCTGTGGCGGGGCGGGCGGCGGCAGGCAGCCGCGCGGCGGAGGGCGCAAATGCCCCGCCGCCGCGCCCCTCGGCAGAGCTGGCTCTCCGCTGGCCCAGCGGCCCGGCTGGCCTGCCAGGCGCTGGCTCGCCGCGCTGCCGCGCGGCTCTGCCGCCCTGGCGGCGCCCGCGCGCCGCCCGAGCCCAGGGCGGCGCACGGGGCGGCCACTCCCGCGGGGCCCCGCTCGCGCAGGGGCGCGGCGCGCCGCCGCCCGAGCCCGCGCGACCGCTCGAGGGCGTCGCGCGCGGCCCTCGCCGCCTGCTCGCCGAGGGCGGCCTCGGACAGCACGCGCGTCTCCTCGCGGGCGCGCGTGGCCGTGAGGGAAGGAGTTGGCGCGAGCCCCCCGCCAAGCGGACGAGGGCGCGATGAACAGTAGCTAGCGGAAGCGAGCTGGACGCCTGCAAGCGAACGGGGCTCGTCAAAAGTAAACTGGCACGGTTTTCTGTCTTCGATGCTCGTGCGGTCGAATGTTGGCGCGAGATGTGCGGCTGACGCAGGGGCGTTTGAAATCTGGCAACACCCCTACAGCATTGGAAAATTGTTTTTGACAAGTCTCCGTACTATCGTACTCCACGATTGTCAATGGCGTACCACTTCATTTTGACGAGGCTTGTAGGAGACACGTCTGGAAGGAGAGCTTGGAACCGGGACCCGGATATCTTCTGTCATGGAGAATCGCGACAGCCAGTTGTCTCAAGTTTCGCAATGTCGACACCTGTGTCAAGGTCTTCGGGCCTGGCGAAACGAACCAGGATGAGAAACGGATCCGGTGCTCCAATGGCCGGCCCCACGAACACGCCGTGACGCTGGAGGTCTGGGGAAGAGGGTCGGCCTTGGATCTTCTTGGGCGTCGCCGAAGAAGTCACGGCGGGCAGTTGTTTGATCATATCTCGGCGCACACGGGCCGTGCGGAGGCCCCAGGGGCCACCGCGGCACGACCCGCAGCGAGAGAGCGGTCGGCGAAGGACGGGGTCGAGAGGTCCAGCGCCTACGCCGCAGAAGGCACTGCGCGCAGAGGCTCGCGGGGGGCAGGAGGGGTGGAGCAGGGAGAGGGCAGCGGTGGAGCCGAAGGGGAGGAGGGCCCAAGCAGGATCTGCCTGCGCCACCGGTGCTGCAGAACCACGTCCCGCTCCGAGGCCTGTCACGAGCCAGCGCGAGCAGCACACCCCCTTTTCATCCGGCGGCCGGGTGGCGGCACCGTCGCGAAGAAGCCCAGGCACATTTAGGCGAACCACCACTTGGAGCAGCAGACGGGCAAATTGGGCGGTGACAGTCGTAAGGTATCTCTCACACACAGACACACACACATACACACACGCACACGGCCACAGGCAGTTCCATAACCTTGGACGCCCGCTGGAAAGGCAATGGTCCATAGTCCCGCACTGTTGAAACCCAATTGGCGCGACTTGGCATCCACGATAATGCCGCATATCATTACCACAAATTGAGAATAGGTTTGGGCGATAATCGCCGTGCACATGTGGGATATTCAAGAAAGATGTGCTTCGTTGAAGCGAGAGCGCGATTTTGAAAAAGGGCCGTATTCCATCCGAGTTGTCGCTGAGACGTTGAAACTCCAGGATCGCACAAGGTAGCAACAATAGCTCTACCGAAAGAAATGTGTGGAAGAGGGCAGCGACACCAGTCCGCACAAATGTTGGAACAAGCAAGTTGCAGGGTCATGCACCATGAGGAGGTCTCAGGCGAGAGCGCTCAATCAGTTTCATGGTTGCCCGTTTCAAGTTGTAGAAGCATAAGAGGAGGTCTTCGATAACAGCAGGCCCTCCCTCTGCATGGTTGTCGGGAGCGCCAAGATTGAGCACCATGTTGTGAAACATTCAGGCACGAGAAGGCTCAACCCATAAGAAGATTTGAAAACTGCATGCCATCCATGTCCTACATGTTGGGGATTCGAATAAGTCAGTGAAGACGGGAGAGTGATAGGACAACGACTTTCTCAAAATGTGCAGAGGGTTGGGGATAACGCTCAGGCCGTCCAACCGATACGTCTTGCAATGCGACGTGGAGGAATTGATTTGCAGGAAAAGGGATGGAGGAGAGGAGGTGTTGAGGAGGGGGAGGGAGAGGGAGGGAAAGGAGGACTGATCAATATAGGTGGAGGGACGTAGTCGAGAAGGAGGAGGGACGACGACAAAAGAGCAAGATGACGAAGAGGACGACGCTGGCATAGAGGAGATGAGCCCAATGGTTTGGGACGGGGAAGAAAAGAGCCTGAATGGTGAAAGGGATAAAGCAGTCGGAGGGACACAGTGCGTGAGGAACGGGAGTATTCTGAGAGGGGGATGGCGAGGATGGCGAGCACGTGGAGACAGATATTCACGAGCAGAAGCCAGAAGCGAGGAGCGGCAAGGGAGTAGGAGAAGCAGAGGACCAACGAAAAAGAGAAGGCGAATCATGATGAGGAAAACCTGGTGGGAACGAGGCGACACAAGCCGGCTCTGAGGGGCAGAGAAACGGTAAGAAGGATAGGGAAATTGATTGAATGAGGAGGCGGCGCGAAAGAGAGAGAGAGAGAGGCGAGATAGGGCAGTTGAGAGAGAGGAAAGAAAGAAAGAAGAAGGATGAGCAGGAGCAGCAGGAGCACAACCGCAGTGTCTTCGATAGCTTCTTCACATTACCCTCTCGTTCCTGCCCTGCGCCAGGGAGGGCTCGCGACATGCTTTATCACCGGATGCATGTATTTGTTGTGGAGGCAGGCGCGGTTCGCCTCTGAATCTTCAGTCGCGCGTATCCAATCGTATCCTGTCTCTCCCTCTGTTCCCTCCATGTCTTCCCTCTCTCCCAGCACCCCCTTCCCCTGGGTCTATGGGGTGCCACTGCCGTCTCTGGCCTGCGGGAAGATACGCACACTAATCGTGCCCGTGCCTCTCCAAAGATCTTTCAGCTCAGCATGATTCTTGCAAATTGCTCGCTTGTTTGACGCTGTGGTGCACGTCGCACCGTTGTACTACGCATTGTCTGCAGGGTTGCAATGTTGTCTGTGGCCGCGGGGTAGAGCAGCTCTACAGTTGTTCGAACCCCCGTAGTGTTTGATGAACATCATCATAACCGACATCATCACTACTACCATCATCGGGAATCCCGACGGCACGATCTGGATAGTGCGATTCCCAATGGGTTTCGATGGTGGCCGTCGGCTGGCCAGTGGCGGAGTGAGAGTCAGTGGAGATTGGTGTTTTTCGCCCTCTCTCGACAGAACCTCATTCCAGAAGGCGGAGACGTGCTATGACACGCGAACTCGACTCTAGCGGGGCCAGTTGGAACGCCATTGGAGTCGATCATTGTTTGAGATCGCGCGAGAGGCATTCATCGAAGAAGCAGACACCTTTCATCTGTTCAAAGACAAAAAAGTGGCAGGCGCGACAGACAATTGATCCAGCAATGCGCATGATGATTCAGACACTCAAGCACCGAAGAATGTTGTCGCCATCATGATCACCAGAAGCTGCTTCAGCAGCATCACCTTACGATGGCATTTCCAGTCAGGCACCTTATCTGATTTTGTCCCAACGACCGTACGTTCCGGACTGAGGAGCCAACCCTGGTTGGCATGGCATTCACACCTGTGCGCTTTGCAACCCTGCTGGTTGGCGGCGCGATCGCCCAGCAGGACAGTTTGTTCCTCTTGCTTTTCCTCCTGCTCCTCCTCCTCCTCCTCCTCCTCTTTCTCCTCCTCCTCCTCTTTCACCTCCTCCTCCTCCTCTTCCTCCTCCTCCTCTTCCTCCTCCTCCTCCTCGTCCTCCTCCTCCTCCTCCTCCTCCTCCTCCTTCTCTTCTCTCGACAGGACAGCACCTTCCTCCTGCAGTCCAGCGCATCTAAGGTCAAGGGCTCGGGGACATTCTGGAACCAGTTCGGAAGCACGTTCGTGGAGGGCTCCTTTGGCAAGGTGCCAGACAACGCCCCCACGTGGTGCAAGAACGAGACCCAGCTCACTTGGAAGCAGAAGAAGGAGCGCATGGAGCAGCATCTGACTCTCGATTGGGCCAAGAAGATGGTGAAGCAGATGCTCGAGCAGAACGAGACGGTTCCCGAGTGGATGGACAAGATGGTGTCCGACGATGAGCAGAGGGGCAAGACGAAGTGGGCGGTCCAAGAGTCGAGGCGTCTGAAGTCCGAGGGCAAAGAGACGCCAAAGTGGATGGAAGAGCTTGTGCAGGAGGACAGCAAGTGGGCTAACCGCTGGGCAGCGTGCAAGGCCGCAGAGCTGAAGGAGGCCGGCGAGGACGTCCCTGGGTGGATGCTTGAGAACGGGAGGAGGGGGATCTTGGACGCTGCGGCCGAGAAGGTGGCCGAGCTCCAAGAGGAGATCGACGAGATGGATGAGGAGAGGGACCATGAGGCGGCGCTGGTGGACGCCAACGGCGACGTCCAGCTTGCCAACAACAGGATGCTGGCCAGGAAGCGGGACTTCTCCACGAGGACCGTGACCTCGCAGTTCCGCGCGCTCGAGCAAGCCCTGGACGAGCTCGACGCAGCCGAGGCCGAGATGCTGGACGGCCACATGGAAAACGGCCCGACCAGGAGGTTCAAGCGGGCCCTCCGGCAGGCCAAGAGCGCAACGCAGCTGCTCGGCAAGCTCCTGGAGCGCAAGGCGAGTATGCTGAACGCCCAGATGTCGGCAGCGCAGTGAGCGCAGCGAGCCTCGTCATACTTACGGCAGGCTCGTGTCGTGCCCACCGGCGGCCGCCGGCGACCCCGAATCGGTGGATGTTGAACGATCCGATGTTTCGGAAACGGCCGATCATTCAAGGTTGAACGACCCCCGCGGTGTCAGAGACCAACGATCAAGTCGGCACGACACGAACCTACCGTAATTTGGGTCACCAGCATGGATCACATGGCCGTGTTGTTTCTGGATATCTAGACCATCGTCATCGCAGCCGCCGCCATCGTCACCATCCCCCCTGCCCCCACCTCTGCATTTGAGCACGAGGCCGCAAGACCCTGGGGACGGGACTCCCGCTGCAGGGCTCTTCCGCCCGGCAACTTGACTGCAGCGCCCCCGCCTCGGAGGCCGACGGGCTCGCCAGCTGATCCCACGGGCTGGATGCTGACGCCGACGTGCACGGTGAGCAGCTCTGGAAGAATCGCGACGCGGCGGCCCGCGTGGAGAGCGGTGAGGGGGCCTTCCGACGCGAGCGTGCCCGCGCAGCCGCGGGCCCGTGTCCGAGGGGCTCTGCCACGCCAACCGCTGACCGGAGGTGGAAGATCTGGGCCTTCCAAGTGGTGCCAAGAGCAGAGGGGTTCGGAGCATCGCGCCGCATCACCCATGCATCGGCCATGCGGCGCGATCCAGAGTCAAATGTTCTTCGTCCCGACGTCGCCAGCGCATCGGCGATGCATCTGTGGTGTGATGCGACCTTCCGACCCTGTGTATTTATTGTGGAACCATTTGGGAGGCCTCCAGAGGAGGAAGTGGGGGGGAATTTCAGTGGTATCATAGTGGCACCAGGCATGACATGAAGATACAAATCCTGGGGAGGTTGAATTAGTTCTCGGCCCTGGTTGCCGCTGGGCTCATCAGACCCAGCTTGGCTCAGATAGAACAGCTGAATCCGCCTGAATCGGTCTGAATGTGTTGTACTCCCTGGCTTGATTGGATGAAATAGTTGTTGCCTTCTGCTCAGTAGTTTCCCCAGGAAGTGCCACCTCAGGGGTAGGAAGTTGCGGCAAAGAGTAGGAAGGGCATCTGCGATGTTTCCACTGCTTGGATCGTCGATAGTCCGACCGATACCTTGCTGGACCCCTTGCGAGCTCCTGAGAGCACGAATCGCGCTCTTGGTCACGGCCCTAGTTCTCCCTCCTCGTCGCCCTTCTTGCTTCCCCCTCCCCTCCTGCATCCAGACTGTCCTCCCTCGTGCACATTGACTCGTCCCCCCTCCTCAGCATCATCGCAATCCTACCATTCATCCTCATCCTCGCTTCCGTCCTCCTTCCTCTTTCTGCTGCTCATCCCTCCTCCTCCTGCTTCTCCTCCTCCTCCTCCTCCTCCTCCTCTCCTCCTCCTCCCTCTCCTCATCCTCCTCCTCCTCCTCCTCCTCCTCCTCCTCCTCCTCCTCCTCCTCCTCCTCCTCCTCCTCCTCCTCCTCCTCCTCCTCATCCCTCCATCCGTCCATCTCATCCCTCCATCCATCCATCCATCCCTTCTCTTTTCCCCTTTTCTCCCTCCTCCTCCGCTTCCTCCCCCTCCTCATCATCCTCCTGTTTCTCCTTCTTTTCCTCCCCCGCCTCCTCCTCCTCCTCCTCTGCCTCCTCCTCTGTCTCCTCCTTGTCCTCCTCGTCACCAACGCCATCATCATCATAATCATCGTCGTCGTCATCATCAGCATCATCATCAGCAGCATCATCAGCATCATCAGCATCACCAGCATCATCATCATCAGCATCATCACACGTATCCTCGCAATCCTCGTCCTCCCCTCCCTCCCTCCTCTTCCGAAGGCCCTCCTCCCCCTCCCCTTCTCTCCCACCACCCATCCCTGGGTCCTTCTTGGCGACGGCCCCTGGACGCCGAAAACTCCGAAAGGCTTCCTGCGCGGCCTGTTCACCTCCGGCAGGCGATTCCGTGGGGGGGGTCTGAAGATTTGTTGGTCGACTACGAATTCGGGGACGGCGGGGGGCGGGAACAGGGAGGACGAGGAGCACATGGATTCCAATGCCAGCAAAGTCAGCTTCAGAAGAGGCTCAGGATGAGGAGGAGGAGGAGGAGGAGGAGGAGGAGGAGCGGTGATGAGAAAGAGAGGGAGGAGGCCGAGGAGTAAGGATGAGGAGGAAAGGGTCAGGAGAGAAGGATGAAGAGGAGTGGGAGGCGAGGAGGGCGTCTCAGGCCAGCGAGTTTCCCCATCCGTTTGATTTGACCCTCAAGGAGCACCACGGCCTAGCTGGCCCCAAGCCCCCCGTGTGCAGGCGCTGACCCAAGAGGAGGAGCATGAGGAGCGCCCAGACCTTTTAGAGACTCCAAAAGAATCGAGCCAGAGGTTCCTAGCAATGTTCAGCCTCTGGGGGCGGTCTCAAAAGCCAAGGATCATCAATAACGAGCCTTGCTGACGAACAGGCCCAGGGGTCGAGAGGTCTAGGGCACACCTCGAGGGGTCGAGAAGTCCCGAACACATCGAGGAGTTGGATGTCTAGGTCGCGCATATTTCCTCCGTGTCGTCCTGCGCGTTTGTGTTTCCCGCTGCTCCGCTTTACTTCAGCTTCCACCGAGGAGCATTGCGTCGCCTTGCTTCGCCGTGCCTGCCTTTAAGGAGGAGGAGCAGGAGGAGGGGGAGGAGTATGGGGAGACGGGTGCGAAAAGAAGCAAGGGGAGCATCGGCTTGCTGTACAATAGCTCATGTTGCGTTGTTCCGCCTTGCCGTGTCCCTCTAGTGTTGCCCTGTTGTCGTCAATCTGTCTGTCTGTCTGTCTGTCTGTCTGTCTGTCTGTCTGTCTGTCTGTCTGTCTGTCTGTCTGCACGTGTCAGGTGTGTCGTGGTTTGTTGTGTCTTGAGTTGCAGAGCAGCTGGTGTCATACACCCAGCCTGGCTTACATGGCGTATGCGGACTTGTCAAGCATGGTTTTGCGGCTGGGCGGCTCATTGAGTTGTCGGTCGGCCGGCCTGGTCTTCACTCACGCTGGTCCTCTTCCACGTACTCCTGTTACGCGTTTGCCACTTCGGTTAAATGATGTCCCTCTATTCCTGTATGTATGTATGTATATACATGTATATATATATATATATATATATATATATACATATGTATCCCTGGGGGGCAGGCCCGCGGCCCCTAAACAGGCGCCTCGACCCCCCACAGGAGGACCAGGGGCCCCGGGGAGCGCCCCTGGAGCGCCCAAAACGGCCCCAGATCGCCTCGAGAGCGCTCCAAGACAGGCCCGGGGGGGGCGAGCGTGCCGCTCCTGGGGGACCCCATGGCGGACCTTCCCTTTTGACGGCGCCGTGGCTAAGGACGGGAAGGGATAGCGGAGCAGACCGGCAAGAAGGGAGGAGGAGCATGGAGAGATCGACGACGGAGCTGGAAGAGGAGTGAACAACACGAATCGGAGACCCGAGCGACGAGGCGGGGGCAGGAGGGAGATGCGGAGGGATAGGAGGAGAATGAGGAAGGAGGCATGGCAGCGATGAGAGGGGCAGGGTGAGGAGCGGAAGGATGAGGAGGAGGAGGAGGAGGAGGAGAAGCGGGGTGAGGAGGACGATGCGGGAAACGGCATCGCGCACAAGCAAAAGGTATGATAGTGGAGGTGGCGAGCACACACATTGATATATATATATATATAGAGAGAGAGAGAGAGAGATGCATATGTACAAGACTTGAAGCTCGCTGCGTTTCGCTTTAAAGTCTTGGTATAGCGCACTGTGTGCGAGGCGAGGGGGGGAGGACAAACGGGCGCTTTGGGCCGAAACGCAGCTACATGTGGAGGCAAAGGGGGGCTGCAAGAAACGGCAAAGCACGTAGGGTGGTGGAAGAGGTGTGCGCGGTTCGACGACGGCGACGACAACAACGTCGTCGTCGTCGCCGTCGTCGAACCCATGATGGTCGCCGGTTCGTCGACGAGCGCTCGTGGTCGTCGGGGCCTGTCGAGGCCATGGAGGTGGTCTGGGACGCTGCACGCGAGTTCCAAGTGCCAGAGAAGCCTTAGGGCCCTTGCGGCCCCCGCGGACAGGCCAGAGAGAGCCTCGGGGACCCCCAAGGCCTTCCAGATTCTATCGAAGACGCCTACGGCGAATCACCGCCGCCCCCTGCCTTTTTGGAAGCGCCTATGTGGCCGAACGTTGAGGCCAGACCTGCCAAGCTATCGGACCACGTGTTCCCCGAATCGGTTTGGAAAGCCTTCGGGGAACACGTGGGCATCTTGAAGGTCATCTTGGCCGTCTTGGAGGCCTCTTGGGCAAGCTTTGGGCGATCTTTGGGGCTTTTTGGGCCGTCTCGGGCCAGCTTCGAGCCAACTTCGGCCATCTTGGTGGGTTCCTGGCACGTCTGAAGCCGTCGGAAGCCGTTTGGGGGGCCTCTATGGGCCGACTTGGGGCCCGCTTGGAATGCTCCAGGGCCGTCTTGGAGGCCATCTTGGGCGTCTGGGAGGCCATCTTGGGCGTGTTGGAGGCCTCTTGGGCCCTCTTGGGGCCCTCTAGGGGCCATCTTGGAGGCCACTTGGGCCATCATGGGGCTCTCTTGGGGGCCTCTTGGGCGATCTTGGGGGCTTCTTGGGCCGTCTCGAGCCGTCGGAGAGCCGAAAAGGCGCAAATGCCAGAATCCTTCAAAAACCAAGGAAAAATCAATGATTTTGGCCTCTTCGGACTCTCCTGGAGGACCTCTTGGAGGCCTCTTGGGCCGTCTGGGAGGCCTCTGGGGGGCCTCTTGGGCCGTCTTGGGCCGTCTTGGACTCTCTTGGGCCGTTTTGGAGGCCGTCTTGGACCATCTCGGGCGGACTTGGAGGCCATCTTGGGCCATCTTCGCGATTTTTTGAGGATGTCCCGAGCGAAACGGCCGTTTTTTGGAGGATTTTTTCCGGTCGTTGAGCACCTTCCGGGTGGCCGGCGGGTTCTGCCGGAGCCCACTGGGGAGTTCTTTTGGAAAAAGAACCAAAACCAAAACCTGACAGCTCGTCCAGCACGCCGTGCACCCCTGCAAGCAG